TGAACACCTTATGAATGCAGGAGAAATCAACAAATACAGTTATATGTTTCTGAGTAGCTACATTACCTGTTCAAGTTTTTAAACCAAGACTGGCCTCAGCTCAGTAGCAAAGTAGCAGGACATCACTTGCTATGTCATGTGCCAGTCAAGAGTGCATGGGAGAAAGGTAACTCAAGCCCTCTTGAGACTGGCAAGTATCTCATCAGGAATATACTTAGATGTACGATTTATACCAGTAGTTCCTTAAGCTTTTGGGGACTCCTGTTAGGCTGACAGACAGCCACCTTTTCAGGCCTTTCATTGCAAGCATTATAAACGTCATTCAGCCTCCTGGATTACATGCAGAAATAAGCTGAAGCCAACAATAGATTTGCCACACTCTACCGGCATGTTTAGCACCATTGATACCATTCTATCAACTCTTCCTGTATTTCGGGACAGTGACAGAAAAATGACCAACACCACCAGGTCTTACCTAGCAGAGGCGTACTACGCCAGTATGAAATATCTGAGGGCAGTGTCCTGGGAATTTCAGTGAACAAGGTGGGTCCTTCACTCCACAGTTTAGTGCTATGGAGCTGCTAATTGAAAAATAGAAAGTGCTGCTGTTGTTCAATCACGCTGAATACATTAATACCACCAACTCCCCCCACACCCCTGCAGTTGCATCTGCATAATGTAATACTAACAATTATACAAATATATCATCTGTTGCTTTTTTGTCTAGAAAAGCTCACGTCCTTAATAGGCAGATACAGGAAGAGGTAAAATAATTCAACTTTACATTTACAACAGTCATGTTGGTTGAAGCTAGGTCTGGAACTAGATACTACAAAACCAGGCAAGATGAACACGGCAGGAGAACCAAAAAAGCCCATCCAAATCCCGTGAAAAAGAAAGGAAAAAAAAAGAAAAAAAGGAAAAAAAACCCTTTCAGCCAAGCTGGCAGGAGAACCAAAAAAACCCATCCAAATCCCGTGAAAAAGAAAGGAAAAAAAAAAAGAAAAAAAGGAAAAAAAACCCTTTCAGCCAAGCCAGCTGGACTGAGAAGGGGAACATTCATCCAGTGTCAGCGCCTGCTACCCAGGTCAGATTTCCCTCAGCAGGAGCAGGGGGGCAGCTCCAGCTTGGCTGCATAGAGACAAAGCACTGCCCCCACCACCCCCTGCCCCTAAACACACACCACTTGCTTGCTGTTAGTGCTGAAGAGGTGTCATCTGAAGATGGCTGGAGGAGACTTCTGAAGCAACAGTTATGCAACTGTGTTTGACCTAGTGTTGTTTAAGTGATGAAAAACGGAAAAGAAATTGGAAGATGTAGCCCCATCTTCAGCCTCTGATCCTTCTCAAAATGTAATTTACCAAATGCCTGTATTTGTCACAGTAACTATTCTGAAGCAATAGGAAACTGGTTTTGCAATAAGGTTTTGAATACACTTTTGTATGTGTGTATACATGTGCATGCATATATATACACATAAATCTGTATCTCAATTCTTATTGAATGTTTAACTTGGCAAAGTTTCCTTGTGTGAAAGTTATTTATTTCCTTCAGGTCATTAAAAACCCCCCAAAAAACCAAAACCCAAAAGTAGTGTCACATTTTAACAGGCTCAGCAATGGTCATAGCAAGCACACTTACCTTCCCTTTTACCGGCTCAGCTGATGTGGGCAGCAGACTGTAGTCAGATTCTAACTCTGCACAGCACTGTTGCAATAGAGAAATAGTTTAAGGCAGGCAGACGTAGAAGAAAAAAAAAAAAAAAGGTAAAAAAGAGAAGGAACGCTACTACCAATTATGAACAAAATGGAATTTTGTCTTTCTAATTGAATTATCCTCAGCTATCAGGAAAACTATGCAGTTGTTTCCCCTTGCTACTTTCAGCCTTTAAATCTGCAGACCTTTATGCACAAATACAAGTTTTATTCACGTGCAGCTGGTCCACAGTTTTGATTCTGCTCCTCTAATGCCCCTGTTACAGCCTAGGATACTTTTTAAGATCTTCTGTTTGTCTTTATAAATACCTTGTTATTCTATGTTAAATCCAGACCGTTCAGACCCTGAGCTATAGCGTTCTTTACTCAAGCTGGTTGGGAAAAAGAGTCCTCCCACAACATCTCCCCCTCCACCCCCTTCCAAACTTGAATAAAGTATTTTTATTCAAAGCAAAGTACTCCAGAGTTATATAATTTCCAGCATATTTCCACAGAGGGGCACAAAGGTAATAACTGTTTCACTGCCTGTTCCAATGCCTGGATACCGAGAAAAATTTTATTACAAGATTTTAAACATTTGTTTTCAAGACTGTCTGCAGAAGAGAGGGCTGATTGTGGGCGACAAATCAGGGAAAGGTGCCCTCAGTCCCATCTGATGCAGTCACCAACAACTGTTTACAGTGAAGACCAACACCACACCTGTGTGTTCTAGCCCATTTTTTCCAGAAGGCTGAAGGAGGAAAATAATAATGTGCAGATCAGTACCTGCATTCTACTGCCTCCATAATTATGTAGATGTTAGAAAAGAAGAAATCAGATGCTGCCAAATTACTTGCAGTTCATCTCAGCTGTAGAAGTCCTTCCACCAGAGCACCGCCTGTGCAAGCCTACCATTTCTTCTCCCACCAGAAAGCATCATACCTGACACAGCAATTCACAGAGTCGCCTTTGAAGCAGTTCCCATCGTAGTGTATTAACAGTTGCTACGAACAGACATTTACAAGTCTTACAGGGTTCCTTATGATTTGATAACAAGCAGTCGGATGCGTCTTTAAACCTGACTACTGCCTGTTACAAACCCATTGCACTTTTTTTTAGTCTAGTTATACCTACAACAGTTTTTCACAGGAAAGAGAATTTTAGAAGTGCATTTTGTTCTGCAAGTTCCAGAAAACACTGGGCATTTCTTCTTCCGTAAGGTTACATTTCCCCTTGCTATAAAGGGGGGGGGAATGCTTCCCCACATCATCAGCCTTAAGGTGCCACAGTTCCCTGCGGAAATGGACAACTCCATTGCAACTTACTGGAAGAGAAGCATTTTTCCTTCCAATCCGACATCCTGTACAGAAGTCTTAAAGTCAAGGGGCTTTACATTTTACTTGGAAACATCCTTGTTCAAGTTTGGCAATGCCAGGGCCTGCCTCTGGTAACTTCTACCTTGATAAAAGTCTATCATAGCTTTTGTACCACAGCTAATAATGGGGAAGTGGGGGGAAAGGAGGTTTCATTAGCACTGTCACAGTGCCCAAGGAAAAATTGAATGCAGCTCTCAGTAGCTCATTCAGCTTTTTCACTGGATGAAGGCTGTAGCAATTCCAATCATTGCAAGGCATGATTAGACATCTGAAACATAGAAGGAGCTGTGCCAGGCTGACTTAGGTTGAAGTAGCTTCCTTGGCCAACAGGTTCCCTCATTTCTCATCTCTTATCATGCGGGTGGGGGGAAATCAGGGAATGGAGTGGAGAGGTGGGTGGGGAAGAGACTACAACCCAGCCCTTTAGTCAGAAGGGGTGCTAGACCTGTCTGGCTTTCTGCAGGAGCCAATAGAAAGTATTGTCCTGCCCGACTGCCATCCTTGTTTGTCAGCCCTGTTCTTCATAAAACCTTGCAACTTCTCTACACATTTACCAGCTTATTTCTATTTAACTACAGAAAGAGATTTCTGCAAACTACCTGGAGTCATTTAAAGCCAAACTCTCAGCCATTTCCAGGGTGGTGTTATTTTCTGGGGGTTTGTCTGGGGTTTTGGTTTGGTTTTAGAGTTTGGGGTTTTTTGTTTGTTTGTTTGTTTTTGGGGGGGTTGGTTTGGTTTTGGGTTTTGTTTTTGTGGGTTTTCTTTGTTTGTTTTGTTTTTGGTTTGGGGTTTTTTTTGAGTCACAGTGGCACCAGTCTCTTCCACATGTCTGGGGTTCTCTCTTTTCATTTACTCTAGCTCACTTTGCAGAAGAGCTTTGTCTATTCAGAGCTGGAAAAATGACACACTATTTCCATTGTTATGCCTCTTGCTAAAAAATCAACCTCACAGTCTGAAGGAAGTAGTAAGCATGAAAGCAACATGAGCACACACACATGAACAATGCCAAAATACTGTTCAGAAGTCAGAAAGCACAGCCTGGAGCTGTTTCTGCCACATCAGCACATAACAGTTGTGCCTTAGAGCTAAGACATAGGGTCCCCGTATATTTTTTCCTACAAGACAAATTGTAGTTTCACATAAAGTTGTTTACAACACACATACATGTTGAGCATCAGTCACATTGCCCTGGGAAGTACATGCCTGAGGCCAAACATTCAGTGGGCTTAAGTCAATCAACATAAGTGAGAAGCACTCCAGAATTTGGAAAGAAAAAAAACATGTGCTGGAAGCAAACCACTGCATTCTTTAATTGCCCAAGCTTTTGAGGTGTTGATGTTAGCAAGTGAGCAAAAGGTAGTATGAATTTTCCATGGTTCCGTAGCAAATGTTGCACGTGTACAATGCAATGACACAATTGCTTTCTACTAAAGAGAACAGCCTAGTACCATGCAGTTATTCAAAAGCACAAAGCAAATATAAGCAGCAAGCAGAAGGCAGAACATAAAAACCAGGTCTTTTTGGTACAGGAAGCTTAAGAAAGAGGGGTGACTTTGTTAGGAGTAAGGTGGGCTATTCAGGTGTGGGAACAGCACCTTCGGTAAAGGAGTGCCAGTGCCACCCATGGAGTTACTAACCCTTCCTCCTAGGACTGGAGATTTTGTTAGGAGGTTTTGCAGCTTTGGTCCAGCCCAACACCCACTCATCAGGATCCCACCTGACTCTCAGCCCAGATGCCATGGTTGCAGATCTCTTAAAGGAGAAGGAAAAATAGAAAGGGGAAGAAGAAAAAAAAAAAAAAAAGAAGACTCGACAGAGCATTTTACTGGATTACCTGCAGGTCAGTCTTATTCCCCTTTGCCATAAACTAAACCATAAAGGATTTGCCTGCGTAAAGTGAATGCTGGCACGCTGCCAGTAGTTTACTCACTTTTCTGGTCTTCCACCTTTTCTTGAAGCGACTGGCAAACGCTTGTTAAAGCTGCATTCACATCCTTGAGTTTTTGCTGCTCAGAAATGGCTTCCTCTAACTTGCATTTCAAGGATGCGGCTTCCTCACAAGCAGAGTGAAAGGCTTCAACTTGATCCTCCGCCTAAGCACAAAACAATATTTAAGAAAAAAGAAGGGAAGGAAAAAAAATAAAGCAGCCTGGCTAACACAAGGAGCCTCTACAGTTCATGCAAATGAAACCAAACTGCATCTGTTCTTTCTCAGGAAGTGATAAAACTCCTTCTGAACTTCTGCATTTTTACATTGGGGTGGACTGTATATGGAAGCTATTTTTGGGTTTTTTTTTTAAGCCACCACAAATATGCAATGCTGCCTCTTTCATCAGCAAACTGTTGTCACCACCCCCTCAAATTTTACTTCCTCTGCTGGTTCCACTTTTGCAATAAGGCACTCCATTCTGAACATGCGATTTCCTTTCCCAAGAGCAGCGATGCATTGTACACAGCCTTTTGCCTCTGCTTGTTTGTTTTCTGCATAGAAGGAACTAGAATGTCCCTTACCTGTTTGCTGGCATCCTCAAGCTGCTTTGTAGCTTTTTGCAGCTCTAAACCAAGGGCTTCTGCCTGGCCAGCAGTTTCTTCTTGTAACTGTTTGACAGTTTCTATCTCATGTTGCCTGCAGGGTGAGAGATCGCAAACCACAATCCGTTACTGACATTTTAGAGCAGGCATGCCTGGGAGATGACACATGCTAATTGTTGAGACATGCATCAAGAACTACATTCGGCTCTTACATTTTACAGCTGCCCAGGATCCAGCACCATCGTTCTTGCAAAGCACAACTCAAACAGTAGGCAGACAAGGCTTTTCTATAGCAGCTCCAGAATTAGGAAGGGGATGGAGGTTTTCCCTGGTTTCTCCCCAGCTGAACAGTGCAATGGCTGTGCCAGCCCCAGCCACCTGGGTACCGTAGTGAAAGTTTGTGGAATATCCAGAGAACTCTTAAAGAGCAAGTGCTTAGTGGGGCAAGCTTTTGCAATTTGGTCAAAAGAATGCATTGTCTCATGGTTTGGGAGAAATAGTAATCTGTTACAGAGTCAATCATTCTAGGAAAGATACCCTGGAGCTATTACTGTAGATACCTTCTGAAACACTGGGAAATTAACCTGGTGAAGCTGTGTATTTCACTTGACAGCAAGCAGATGCCATCAGAACCAGTGCTGAAGGTGATGGCTTTCAAGGAACCCCTTCTTTTCCACTGCAGAAACACTTTGCCCATTTCTTCTCTAACTCACCTTCATATATATATATATAATTTTTTCCTCTTGTTGCTACCACCACAAACAATTTTGATACAGAGAGGCAGCTTTAAGAAACCAAGCCATCAGTATTTTTATCAGCTCTTTTCTGAGTGAAGGGAGAGCACGTGGGAGGTCTACATTAACAGTATTAAGTGGAAGATAAGTCAAGCAGAAGTGCAGTATGACGGCTCTGCATTAGCTCTCAGGGATGCAAAGCCCTAGGAAGCTGCTTACACCCCAAACCCAGGTGAAGGCATGCACGCAAAAATTTACATTTAGCGTAGGACAGCAGAAGGCTGACACTATGAGTAAGCCTGGGTTCCACAAAGACAACAAATTCAGATTAGTTGTTCTGGCAAAAAACACTTGACTAGCTCCTTTCCTGAATGTCTGAGGAGAGGAGGGAGGGCGGGCAGGCAGGCAGTTGTTTACACCTGCTGTCTTTTGCTGCCATATTTGTAACATCAAAACTCATAGCAGGAACCATGTGCCAGTAAACTTAAATTTAAAAGTTACATTTTCATATTTAATGAGACAACTCATTGAAGCTAAACCCTTGAGAAACTGAGACATTATATGATCTGGGACTAGCAATTGTGTCCTAAAGCAATAAAACCTGCAGGCATATGTTTTACAGGTCTTCTGCTTCACAAAAAACCAGCAGTTTATTTAATGGTTGCACCTGCTAGATAGGCAGTGCCCTCTTTCTTTAACTGCTCAGTCTGTGGTCTCCCTGGTGTTTTCAAAGACATCTCCAAGATCATATGTTACTTCATACACAAACCTTAACTCCCACATAGTGTAACGTTATGCTAAAACCAGATCCATTCTCTAAAACAGCAGATAATTTCTTCTGTGAAAAAAGTCTTCGGAATTCAGTAAACTTTGTTCCACAAGCCAAAAAACCCAACCCAAAACCAAAAAAAACCCCACCAAACAGCTTAGCAACCAACAAAAAAAAAAAACCCAAAAGAGACACACACTTTCTGAAGGGGTACCTGGCAGAGAGCTCTTTCCTTAGGTGAAGTTGCTCTGTCTTGGTTCTCCTCAGGTTGCTTGCCATTTGAATAAAATCCTTATCTAGACATTCTTTGTACTTTTCCAAGAGATGAAGTTTCTGGATCCAAAGGTGTCTTTTTTCTCCTAGTTCTTGCTTGAGAACCTGGGGAGTTTTGAAACTGAGTTGCCATGTGGTTAGATGAGGAGCAGAGCCAGAGAGTAAACCAGAGACCCAATTTACATGATGGGAATTGATTTCCCTGCTCCACCATTTAGTATCATCACCTACATCCAACATTATCAGCAATAAAGAAGGTGGATGATTGACAATATGCTGTAGTCTACTCACACAGCATCTAGTTGGGGAAGAGGGGGGAGAGAGAGACACACATGGGGAAAAATACAGTTTAATAAGGAAGAGATTCTAAAGGAGAAATAGGTATTTGTTTTGTACAAAACAGCTTTTTGTGCAGTCTAATAGGTTAACAAAGTTATCTAAACTTCAAACCTGTGCCTTCTAACTCCTGAATCTGACAGGATGTGGGGACAGACAGGCTAGACTCCTGCCGCATGCTAATACTTTAAGACTTTTTTTAAGATGGAGCAATGCATAACGGTTTGCACAAGAAAACATAAGCCTTCCATATGGTAGTTCAATTTGACAAATGGCTCCCACTTTTTTCAACAGGTTACTTCTAAGTCAAAAGCCACTGCTCAGCCTTTCTTTCTGGGCAGATCTAGAGTACACAGATAGTCCTCTTCCTCTTTATCCCTTGTAAAACACATATATGGTTAGCAAGTATTTATGGTAGGTATAGCAGAAGGTTATATGGTGCATGACGGAGTCTTTACAACTTACCCTAGAAAGCCTCCATCACAAGATGCCCAGATACAGCAACAAAAAACATATTTCATAAGGGGAAGTTTTAATAATGACCATCTCACTAGAAGCCCTAAAATTGGCGATTTAGACTTCTATGACCCTTTCCTCAAAGTACAACTAAGTCCACTGGCACCAATTTGAGTTTGTATTACAGCAAAATAAAATAAAAAAAAACAACACCAAACCACCCACCACCAATAAATCCATATTTCAGTTTGTCACATGCCTAGCAGATGAAATAATCCAATGGATGACCCCTGTGGCAAAGGCCTTCAGTTTTACCTCTGATTTGTAGGAAGCAAAAGGGGAAGATGGTAAAAATGAAGTGTTAAGTAACATTGCATCCTCTGTATTTCTCTGAACAGTGACTTGCAGTATAAACTACTGAGAAAGAAGAATCCAGTCCTCTTTCTCTGACCTTGTTCAACTGAACATACAGAATAGAGTCCTCATCTTTTAAAGAATGCTTAATGAGAGTCAAACAGAGGTCAGGTAAGAATGAGGTTCATATTTCTGGGATTTTATATTAGTTCCAAGGGGAAAACATTAATCCTACAAATATAAGCCACATTACCTTTTTTTTTTGGTAGCATGGTACTTGATGTGCTACCCTTTTTTGTTTGAAGCTCATGAACAACTTTAGACTCTAACTTGCAAGTAGGTAAAAAAGAGAGCCTGAACAATTTTGCTGGATAGGTTTACTGGGATGACACAGGGCGTGACCATGTGTAAATGCCCACGCATCCTTCAGGATCTTCAGATCAACTTCTCAGACAAGGAACAGGCAGCACTTGCTCTTAGAAATAGCATGGTTTTGACACATAAGCGGTATAGGCTTATCAGGGCATGTGTTTCACAGTCTTATCTTCCAGCAGGAGAAGGGTGAAAAAGTTTTTACTGTCACCATCTATATATGCTTAAATATATGTATATGCACACAAACACACAGGCACACTTAAAATTTACTTTACGTATATTATACTTTAAAACTTACTGACAGATACTAAAACCCAGCAAAACATATATTTCACAGAAAATGGTGGGGAAGTGTTTAGGCTTCAAGCGATAGTGCATGATCCAGATTTAATTCATTTTTCTACAAAAGCTTTCTCTAAGGGTGGAAGAAGCTACTTTGAATCTTTCTTTTTTTGGATTTACTGTTGTTCAGCTCCATCTACCGTATTTCCCGCATATCTGGCTTGTTTTAGCTAGGTGAAGACAATGCGTTTGACATGAAGTCACTTCCCATCCCCATGGGTCCCAGAAGGACGGGACCTTTTATTTTTACAGAAACTTGTTCTTTCTTCATCCTCTGTTAGCTTAGTTTCCAAATGCATTGCTCTCTAGGAGCCAGAATAGGATTCATTTGCCATGATCAACTCCAACACCCACACCGAAAGTTTTTAGCTTCACATGTTTAACAGGAATATGATCCCAACATGAATGGTAAGTTAACAAGCATTTTTCAGCTGTGACAGCTTTGGAGGAAGAAATTTTTAGTCAAGATCAAAAAGTTACAGCAACGCACAAGTCAGTTTCCTAGAGTCTACCCAAAGTCACACCAGGGTGAAGGGACTGAGATGCCTGCACCTTCTCCAAGGGGAAGCTTTCAGGATTTACATAAAAAGAAAAAAAAAATAAAAAAGCTGGCTGCAGGACTGGATGGCTCTAATGATTGCTCCTGCCTGGCCAGGAAAGATGAAGAGGGCCAGCTACAACATTTTGTAGCACTAGAGGAAAAGAAGTGTAGCTTTCTCCTTAGAAGTTAACAGATTAAAGCAGCATGTACTGTGGTGCCACTTGCTGTTACCCAAGTGGAATGAAGTGAGGTTTTTGTATCTATTAAGGAGCTGAAAGACAGCATTAGTATACAGTTTGGTGGAGTTTTCTGTGGCACTGTTCCTATCAACAGATTAGTAAGACAGAGCAGGATAGAGAAAAAGCTACATGCAGCAAGATGAAAATTTCAGAAACCATGCTGTTACATGGGAAGAGAGGAGGGAACAAGAGCAAGAGAGTTGAGCTGTGCCCACAGACTGCTGCTACCACATGGGGAAGTTATTTTTGCCAGTTACCTTGAGCAAAAGTCTTTACTTTCAAGCCTCACAAGAGGTATGAGGAATAGTAAAAATACATTATGCAAGATTAAGTTGTAAAATACATTTTGGTAGAAACTTTTCCTGTGGATTGTGTCCAGCAAAAGCAGAACACTTTGCCTTTCAAAAGAAAGCAAACCTTATGAAGGTTTTGATTTGGAA